GAAATTCCAGAATCATTAGATGGCTATTTATTGTTTGTTTGAATCTTCCCATTGATGTTTTGGGACTGCAACTGGTCAGTCTCTAATTGGTATATATGCATACTGTGTGTATTCCCTCGATGTTACCTTAATTCACAAGCATTATAAGCAAAGATAAAGAGTGGCTAGCAATGGAATGCAGGACGCGCGTTTCGTCCTATTTGGAACTCGTCAGCTGGATGTACCTGCATCTCAGAGTTGATGTTCACTCTGGGACTCGAACCCAGTACCTTTCACTTCAAACGCCATTGAGTTATCCACTCAGTTACTGAGTGCTGATAACTACTTGCTTATGCAAACAAATAATACTAAATGAATTTTAACTTCACCCCATTGCACAAGCAAGTGGTTATCAGGACTCAGTAGCCAAGTGGATAACACGATGACGTTTGAAGAGAAAGATAATGGGTTCGAGTCTCAGAGTGAACATTAGCCTCGAGGTTCACTTACATCCAGCTGATGAGTCCCAAATAGGACGAAAAGCTCGTCAAACTGGATTCCACTACTAGCCACTATCCATCTTTAAAATCAATTATGCTTCAAAAGATTCATCAATCAACACTTAGCAACTAACTAACTAACTAACTAACTAGTTTTCACTTAGTAACTCAACAAATAAAAATTCTTTAAAATTTAATCAAATCATCTTTGATTTATTGATTTTATTTTTTTGAAAAATAAATTTTCATTCAAAGATTTTAATCGTTCGAAAAAACAAAAAAATTTAAAAAAGAAATCCATATATCAATATTGATTGATTTTATGCAAATGAGTAGTACAGTCACTGTCACTATAGTAGCGGACAGTATAGTCTATATTTTTAATGTTTATCCGTTGTCATAGTGAATTACGGAGGAATTATAAATGGATAAATAGATAGATAGATAGATAATGAGATAGATTTTATGACAGAAGGGTTAATCATTAAAACAATTTAATGTTTACTATATTCGAATTATTGATTTATTTATCTTAACAGAATGGTGCTTTCATGGAGTAGAATTATCTTTTTCTGGTTAGTGTTTTTTTTTTAACGAGTTAGCTTTCTACAGGATAGAATCGTTAACCCTATGCCCAATTCTCCTCCTTTACTCGGGCTTGGGACTGGCAGTAACTCTAGAAGAGCTAATTTTTCATAGTTGAACTGATAAGTCAATTAAAGCTAAACCACAATGGTAAAGAACTGGATCGCCGTTTTGTTTCATTATAGGACTCCCCAACAATTAGGATCCATTAACACATATATGAAATTTGAAACTAAAAGCTTCGGTTACGTGTGTCAATGCTTAACTTCTAGATCACTGAATTGATATCTAACGATGTTCATGTCTAACTTCAACTAATCCATTATATTACACAATCGTCCACCATTGTCTTCAATGATTCGCTACCTCAACAACACACGCAGTTGAACTACACTAGTCAGAGCTACTTATTAGAACTCCAGTTAATAGTGTGCAAATACTAGGACGAAACGTTCATTTCGTCTCATTACAGGACCCCTCAACAATAAGGATCCATGACCACACACACTAAATTTCAAACTATAACCTTCAGTTACATGTGTCAACGCTTAACATCTAGACCATCAAATCGATGTCTAACGATGTTTGTGTCTAACTTTAAATTGATGTAAACCGCAAAACAAGAGGCCTTAACAAACTATGGAAGCTATTTTTGTGGGCATTATTTCGTTTAATTCAAAGCTTGTATAACGGTAACATTTACTTTTGTCCCTAGTCTATTCTACAGATCATAAGCTTTCATTTTGATGTGTGATTCACTGCCATAGCATTTTCTGTTCTAAAGCTATTGTAATTCAGACGTAATCTTTTGTACTCTATTTTCTACTCCCATCCCCCAGTTTTGGAAATAATTGTATTTTCCTAATTATTGTACGTTGTGGTCAGGTTAGTCATCTATTTATTCATGTATCTATTTACACTAATCCGAATTTGGAATTCGGTTACCAGATCGGAATTTGGAATAAAGCGAGTAGTATTCCAGTTATCTTATCTTCTCTCTCGCTCGCATGCTTGTCAACCAATCAAGGATAGAATAGTTTTCGTCTCTCTAACCCCGCTTCGAACTCACGCAAATTAGTCTCAAGGTTAAGCCAGTCAACCTATCGCGTCAAGGTCTAAATCTAGATTAGACAAGTTATCCTTCGAACGAAAGTGAGTAGACAGATTCAAGGACGTAACACAAATAATCCATTATATTACGCAACTGTCTACCACTGTCTTCAATGATTTACTACCTTGACAACAGACACAATTTGAACTCTACTAGTCATAGCTACTCATTAGAACTCCAGTCACTAGTGTGCAACTACTAAGACGAAACATCCATCAAATGCTTCCATAATGGTCTAACTTTATTCGACTCATTAATCCAACTGTTTTTTAAAAAAAAATCTGTTAAATGATAATGAAATTAGACTTTGAACTGATGAGTTTCCGTGTAAATAAAATACAAAAAAAATATACATTTTATAAATTTGTTTAAATATTTAAAAAATGAGTCATCCTATATTGGAATAAAATAAAACAAACATGAGCAGTATCATATTGAACTTTGAATAGTATAAATTATATTCGACGGGTAATTCATAGATGACCTTTGATTGGCACTAAAGTGACCTTGAGAGTGATCATCTATATATTAGGATTTTAGATTATAGGGGGGTTTTGTGGAGAATTTAGGATTTTCATAGTTGACAATCATGGGTCAATTGAAGCTAGACCAACATCGAAAACCTGGAAGTACTGGGCGGCCGTTTCGTCCTATCATGAGACGCATCGACAGTGCGCATCCACCATCCCGCACTCGCGAGATTCGAACCCAAGATCTACCAGTCTCGAGCTGGAGCCCTTAACCACTAGACCACTGAGCAGGCAACGGTCGCTCAAAATCGTGGATTGGTTGAAGTTAAACATAAACACCGTCGGATGCCGGCTCAGTGGTCTAGAGGTTAATCGCTCACACGCAAGACTGATAAGTTTCGGGTTCGAATCTCACGAGTGAGGGATCGTGGATGCGCACTTCTGAGGCATCCCATAATAGGACAAAACGGCCGTCCAGTACTTACAGGTTTTCGATGATGATCTAACTTGAATTGACCCATGATTTCAACTATGAAAATTAGGATTTATAAATCAATGTGAGGAATCAGAATTATGATTTATAATTTATGGTTAAGGTTAGGAATTAAAATTTAGGGTTTCCATCATGAACTGCCAAGATGCTCTTTCATCAAATGGATGGATGAATTTTGCGCTAAAATCCAAGATTTGTTATTTTAAATCTGATTGGTTCATGCATAAATTATAGTTTCATCTATTCGAATTTTAAATAGTATCATAATAGATAATTATATGCTTTCAGAAAAAAGTATATCAGTGATGAGAAGCCATTGAAATCCTGTGAAGGTCTTGGAGAATGGTTTTCTTTTTAAGAGTTTTAGACATTCCAATAAATCAGAAAGAGGTTTTGTGGAGATTTTAGTAATTTGATAGTTCAAATCATGAGTCAATTGAAGCTAGACCACCATGAAAAACTTGGAAGCACTGGACGACCGTTTCGTCTTATTGTGGGACTACTCAACAGTGCACAATCACGATCCCGCCTCGCAAGGTTCGAAGCTAGGACTTGTCAGTTTTGCGCATCTGCGCTTAACCTTTAGACCACTGATTTGGCTGGGATCCAACGATGTTAATGCCTCCTGATTCGGTGTTTTTGAGGAAACGTTGAGTTCCAAAAATAACACAGTGAATCTTAAGAGACTTTTTTTCCACAAACGACTTCACCACTATCACTCAGGTTTAAGAGCTGGTCTATAAATCAATCCTGATGTTATATTGAGTGAGTACGTGCGTGACCTTGTTTGATGTATAACGTGATGATTCTTGCCAATTAGAAAGGAGTGAATTATCCATCAGAGCAATGATACACAAAAGCCGCATGAACAGTTTTGAGTACTTATCAGTCTTGCCTTCTGCCTAGTCCAGCCAATTAAGTCCAGAACACCAATAGCAGCCTCTACAATACGAATCATCATATTTCAGACATACTGGGTTTATATACCAAACAAACTGACTACATCGTACCATAAAATGTACAAGATTTAGCCAAATGTGGCTGTGAATAGGAGGAACAGTAATTAATAAACTGGGGAACTGTTCTAATGAATTTGTTTGGAAGTAAATTTGTTCCAATAAAAGACAAGGAGTGAGGTGAGAAGGTTTACCTCCTCTCAAAGGTACTGAAGATTAGGTTTCATTAACTGATTTACCCAGAAAGCATTTAATAATTAACTATAACCAAATATTGAGGTAATTCAGCTTGTATAATTGGATTTAAACCTATCATGGATAGTGAAAGTATTAACAGTGTATAACAAAGATTGTAGCATTGACCATGAACAAAATTTAAAATCTACGTAGCTTGCTTAATCTTAAGTTAAAGTGTAACAACTGATAGTGATCATATGCTCACTAGTGACTGACTCCATGGGGTATTTCATGGAGTTCTAGTGAGAACTAGTAACCAGTGGAGTTCAACCAGGTCTATTGGAAGATATCAACTCACTGAAGACATTGGTGAATGGTTTCTCAATTTCGTGGATTAGTTGAAGTTAAACATTGATACTATGATATCATTTCATGAAATGATTACCATTCTGAGTTTTTCACCCGATCTCAGTGTTGATAAATAATACACAACGTAGAAATCACTGAGATGATATTTGTACAACATGAGGAAGCCACTGGAATTGATCACTTAAGACGCCGTTATTAACTAGACTGTGATCATTATCCATTCCTTAATCGATTCAACTGGAATTTATTCAGAAATACATTTAACAACATAATCTAGAATATCAGTTATATCATCCATTTTTTATACTGCAACTAGTCTAAGTAACATTGACGTTCTCTTTCTAATTTGAATCTTTTTAGTTACCCAATTCAATTATGGAAGCAAATGCTGGATTTAAACATGAAATTTCAATTGAATCATCAACAAGACAATCAACTGAAGAAGAACTTGCTTGGGGTGTAGATACACGTATCACAGTACCACCAAGACATTCTGCTTCTGCTGAAGTAAGTTAGCTTGTTTCTTCATAAAGATGATGTTTTGACTTCATTTTAAATTATTTCCTACCGACTAAAACAATATAACTACCATGGTGAATGATATTTATGTTCACACATATAAGCAGTATGTAACACCGATCAAAAGTGGAATGCCTATCAAAAAAAGGTTGAGAAGATTGAACTGAAGAAAACAGGAAGGGAAACGCGAAGGAATTGAGACTTGGAAGGATGTAAAGGACAACTGGTGGAAGATATGCAGATGAAGTACTTAATGTATGATTTTCATAATTTAAGACACTGTAATTTTGTACCCCCCATCTAAGTTTGTGTTCACTACACTTCTACTGCAACCATCAAACTTTTTTTCTCGGTTTCTATAGGCAGTTGACACAAGTTAAGGTTTCACGTACAGCAAAAATTCCTTAAAGATTACAGGTTCCCCTTTTTGACAAGTGCTAACTAGGATGAAAACTAGGTCCAGTTGGATTTTCTGCTGATAACCTTCTACAGAAAATTTAAAATTGTCTAATGTTCCTTTAAACTCTGCCTGTAGCTCCTCCGGGGGATACTGCCTGGGCACAAGCCTGGATAGAGGAGGAGGGTTGGGCATGGGGTTACAAACCCTATCCCGTAGAAAACTAACTCGCTAAAAAATTTTAACCAGAAAAAATTATTCAAACAATTTAAACTCTGCCTTGGGAGTTTAAGGAATAATTATGAAACCTCATGATGAAAGCCGAGATTCTTCGGAAGTTATGAGACCGACGCACCTTCTAATAACCAGAGCAACAATTTTTATAGATAGTTGGAACGTCCAGACGATGTGGGAGACTGGGAGTGTCTTCCAAATCGATGCAGAAATAAGGAAATACAACCTGGAGGGGGGGTGCTTGTGATCAGTGAATGTTCCTTAAAATATTAACAACATTAGCATGCCTTTTAGAGGTAACCAGTCAGAAATTCTGTTTGACATTTAAGTTTTTTATTAGTTGACACTCATCAACATGCTTTTACAAACCCACTGTAAAGTGGCAACTAATTTCAAAGTGTTCGAACAGTATAATAAATTGATCACTGTTCAGTTGGATTTTGCTCCGAAATAAAATTAACTGGAAAAGTCTTGGAAACCCATAGTTCTCAACAATCAATCTTCTTAGCACAATAGACGAAACAATCTTGATGGTAACTAACTTGTACTTTAAAAACTTTAAAACTACCTAGTCAGTCATACCAAAGAAACAAAATGGACAAAAAGAAATCTCTGTTAGTAAATTATGATTGTACTAGTCAGACATTGAATAGAATGGAAGATTGTAAACTGTCATATATCAAATGATTCAGCTGAATGACTTGTGATTATGATCGTAGATATAAGGCTTCAACAAGACGTTGTTTCACGGTTCTCATTTGTTTATTTGTCGATCACAGTATGTCAAAGGAGTACTATACTATAATGGAACGGCCGTTCAGTGCTTCCTTGTTCTCAATGGTGATCTAACATTCATTGTTTCACGATGTCAGTCAAAATCTCAACAATATTCACAACCCCATGCTGAGAATTACCATGTGCTCACCAGTGACTAGCTTCGTGAGGTGATTCTACTAGTTCTAGTGAGAAGTTGTGATCAATGAAGCTAACCAGTGTTAGGTGGTGACAAATTTCTGTCTCAGACAATGGAAGACGGGTCGTGAAATTTCATGAATTGGTTGAAGTTAGATATAAACACTGTTGGATGTCGGTTCAGTGGTCTAGAGGCTAAGCGTTCGCTCCGCGTGATGAAAGATTCTGAGTTCGAATTCCGTCGTGTGTGCGCATTCTGAAGAGTTCCGTAATGGAACAAAACAGCCATCCAGTGCTTCTCAATCAAAAACATAACAATCTCCTCAACCCTATACTGATATAAAAATTCTGATTGTTTATGATTAATACAAATCATTAATTTTTTTTTCTCATGCACTTTGAGGTTTACTATTCCCCACAGTTTTTCAAAACCAATCGAAAAGTAACTAACTATGATCTTAAATGACAAGTATGTACAAACAAAAATGAAGTGCAAACTACTTCAGTATTTGAATTGTACAATGTTTAGTACAATCTTTATACTTATAAGTTCAGTGCAATCAAATCGCTTATCAACAATCAATGATAAGATAGGTTCCCTTTGTTTATAATTGAGAGAATCAATACTAACCATCGTCTATTTGTGATCTACATTCAATGTCATTGATAAACAATAGTCTTATTATTATTATAAGAAGGTATTTTGTGGAGATTTCAGTATTTTCATAGTTGCAAGCATGAGTCAATTGAATCTAGACCAACAAGGGAAACTTGGAAGCACTGGACAGCCGTTTCGTCCTATTATGGTTTTTCATGGTGGTCTAGCTTCAATTGATTGCTGATCCACTCCTTCATATCTGTATCAGATCTACCGTGTTCATCAATGATGCTTCCCAGATATGTAAACGTTTTTACATCAAGTACTTATATTATTTCAACCAAAATAATACACCACTAAGCTGGTCTCCGGTCTATCAGTTAAGTTCAATGTAAAATCATTGTTTTGTTACATTCCCCCTTAATTTATTAAGTTAATGATGAAATAGAAACTATTCATTGAAACATGAATAATCAATGTTTAGGTTTATTGAATTTACTGTCAACAAAATAAACAACTTTGAATAGATGGATTATAATTAATGGTGGAATCTAAGCTGTGTGTTTATTTCGGTTTTAAACTTATAGCTTTGATGAACCTGGATACCAACATTGGTGTCAATATCAGGACTCCAGCCGAGTATATATCACTTCAAACATTAAAGCTTTGCTCATTGAGTTGCTGAGTCCAAACAGTAATTAACTTGTTCGTTAAGTAGGAAGACCGTTTCATCCTACTAGGGGACTTCTCAGCAGCGCGCATCCATCATCCCTCAGGTGGTATTCGGACCCAGATCTGTTAAGTCGGCTTACAGTAAACTCTATCAGATCCTCCAGAGGCTCATAAAGAGCCCCAGCCAATCAGCGAATAATTAGAAGATATGCTACTAAAATAACGAAATCCTGATTGGCTGTTTAACACACTGCTACTATGGAAACTCAAGGTCCCTTAATTACTATAAAACCCCTGTATTTTCTGTACATAAATAAATCCTGCAGTAAAGCGCTTCCCTCATACTTTGTACCTTTTTCTCCGGTCTTCAAGTTGCTGTATAGTTCTATCTCGGGGATACGGGACTAGCTTAGGGAAGCAAATATAGCGTGCACAATCGGCCAGACGTAACAAGAACCTTTGATCTCGCGGTCCAACGCTTAACCTATAGACCACTGAGTCGATATCCGAAGGTGTTAATATTTAACTTTAACCAATCCATGAAATTGCGCCACCGTCTACCATTGTCTTTAATGAGTAACTGCCTCACAACAGATATGGTTAAAATCCATTAGTCACGACTTCTCACTAGAACTCCAAGAAGCACATCTTGGAGCCACTCACTAATGAGTACATGATGATTTTTGTCAGAAAGGGGTTTTGTGGAAATTGTAGTAATTTAATAGTTGAATTCATTAGTCAATTAAAGTTAGACCATCATGGAAAACCTGGAATAATTGGATGGCTGTTTCATCCTAGTATGGAACTACAATTTTCACAAACTTTCATTTTTATTTAAAACTGAGAGGTTCTAGACCACTGTTTTGTTTTTATTTAAGGATCTACCATACTTATGGCTCAAAAATAACATGGAATCACTCAGTTGTTATTATGGAATAGGTTACTATAGTCAATGCGTACATATACCTTACCTAACTCCATAGACTCAACATATCATCACTCATCAATAACTTTACATTGGTAATTATAGAATGTGGTTATTAGACCATCGTTATCAACAGAATTGAAGTGATTGAATTTGATTCAAGTACTGAATGCTTATAAATACCTGATTATAAAATCATTCCTTCTAAACTTGAGATTCAAATATATTCGACGTTATCGATGTATACTTTCTTGATAGATGCTTGTACAATTCAGAATAAAAGCTCCCATAGATGAATAGTAGTAATCTGTATAGATTATTCTTAGATATCTATCACAGCACCTTTCAGTTGTTATTTAGGTTTCTATTGTCCAGTGTTTCACAAGAAACATTATTTATAAAAATAAAGATGGATAGTGGTTAGCAGTCGAATCCACCACACACATTTCACTCTATTTTAAGACTCATCTGTTGAATGTGCCTAAACACAAGTAGATATTCGTTCAGAGTTTCGAGCTCAATATCATTTGTTATCAATGTGATCGTGTTATTTACTTAGCTACTGACTGAGTTCTGATAGTCACTAGCTTATAAAGTAGGGTGAGTTTTATTTCATATACATTCGTTGTTTGGATATTCACATTGATGTTTAGAACTATAAATGATCAGTCTCTTCAGATATTTGTCTGACCGAATGTTAATATTAAGACAATCCTCACAATTCGCCTATATTTCGGAACAGAGTGATTATTATAAAATAATCGTGCCAAACACTGATCGGAATAATTATACATGTGATGTGAATGTGTATATGAATTGTGAGGATGATCCACCAGGATGATGGGTACCTGTGTGGTTGCACCACAGGATCGAGCTGTACTATTCAGATTGTAGCGTTGAAGATCACCATATAATGTCTGTTTCTCTTGTGGGACAGGATTGAGCTTTACTGTTCGTGTGTCTGGCTCTCCTGTTAAACAGGATTGAGTTGTACTGTTTAGGTTGTCACGTGAAAGTCTGGATAGTGTTTGGTGCTCTTGAAAACCGATGCGAAATTACCCTTGTAGCGAACAAGAACCCAAGTGGGGACAGTCGAATGTATTTAAGCACAAAATTACAGACGATTTCGCTAAATTCTGATAACCATACAGCAAACAGTGCTTTGGCAAAATAAAAACCAATTGTCTCAATCTTCACTATCCCTTCTGTAGCCCCCAAGTGCCCTGGTACGGCCGAGAGTGAGAAGGGTTCGCTCTCCCTCTCGAAATGCTCTCATATGGCCATGCATATATAGCCTCTGTCAGCGAAGTCCTACTCACTGCCTCCTCGTGGCATTACTGTTGTTTACGAAATTGAGAAGACGAAAAGCTAATGTCTGGCGCTTTAATCGGGTTGGTGGACACGGTGCGTCTATCTAGGGGAGTTGTAAAACCCTGATTCTAAACCAATGGTGCACATGGGCTGGCTCCAGGATCCTGAAGGAACAAATGGTGTATGAATCAATCGTTGATCACTGGATACCATGGGACTACATCTCCTCACGATGCTCCACTGGATCAGACATTTCGGTCAAAGGCTCCGGGTCTAGCCCTCTAAGAAAACCACCTGCTTTGGTTGGGGCACCCAGGCAGTATCACAGCCCTTACACAAATCTCATTTGATTTGTGTGACGCATATTTATCTGCTGCTACTTTGTACCAATATTTATGTCTTCAAATATATAAAATAAATGTTCCTTCTGCAAATGTCAATCCATCTTCTCTAATTTCATTGTTCATGCATTTTCCTACCAATTACGCTTCATTTCAGTTCTTTCCTTATCGACCTTCTACCAAAATATATTCTATGCCTGACCATCACCATATACTACTTGTGAGGATATAAGTAGACCACTTACTTACGCCTGTTACTCCCAATGAAGCATAGACCGCCGACCAGCATTCTCCGACCCACTCTGTCCTGGGCCTTTCTTTCTAGTTCTGTCCAATTTTTATTCATTCTTCTCATGTCTGTTTACGTTCTTCGGCGTAATGTGTTTTTTGATTTTCCTATTCTCATTTGGTCTTCAGGATTCCATGTAAGAGCTTGACTTGTGACGCAGTTTGATGATTTCCTCAATATTTGTCCTATCCACTTCCAGCATTTCTTCCTCCACTCGATGGAATCTAGTTTGTTGTCTCCTACAGTAACTTGTTACGGATAATGTCTGATCAGCATAAGTAGACCACACCACACCCTAATCCACAAGGATAATATTATATAACTGTCAAGAACTCTTTAATACGATTAACTTAATGAACCATATTGTTGTTGCTGTTGTTCTTGTCTATTTTAGGTAAAAATTGATGAAGAAGAAATGAATTGTTGTTTTCGTTTAAGAACATCAATGTATGGACGACTTCGTGTGCTATTCTTAGATCCTATCCATGATAATACATTAATTAAATATCTTGAAGGTGATTTAGGTACTATTATACAAGAATCATTAAAATCTAATCATATACATCAAAATGGTCCTGATCAAGGTTCATTTATATGGACTGAATCAATGTTAAAATCAAATCAACGTATATGTTATATAGAAACATGGGGTAAATGTAAATTTCGTTTTGGTGTACATCAATTTGTTGAAGTCAGCCAAAAAGCTCATTGAGAATCAAACAATTAAAAAAAAACAAAAAAAAATTAGTTGCTATGGCAATTATAACTTAAACTTATATCATATAATCTTGATAAAATAAAAGAAGGAAGACAATCAAATTTGAGTGCATTTCATGATGATCATTCATTATTCAATGTACAATTGTCTTGGATCACTTCGATCTGTCTTAAATGATCCTTTCATTGACTTATTTAATCCAAATGTACATGAATCATCTCATATTGTAAAATAAAGTTTCATTTATGATTTCTATTTTGTTGTTTAAATTATCATTATGTTAAAGTTTTCTTTCTTTTTCAATTCAATATTGTTCAATAGTAAATTATGGATGATAAATCTCTTTTTCTTCTTCTTCTTCTTCTTCTTCTTCTTCTTTTGATATTGTCTATCAATGGAATGTAGAGTTAGATGTATACCTGTATGATATGGTCGATGTTCATCCTGAGATTGGCTTGTTTTAAGTTGATGTTATTTATTACTTCGTAACAATTTCGGTTCTCTAATCCCATATCCAACTCTCCTCCTTTATCCCGGCTTGAAACCGGCAGTAGCCTGAAAGAGGTTCTAGGCAGATGTGAAGACGTAGATCGGCAATGCAAGAGCAATGAATCTATAATTGAAAAATATCTGAAACTCAAAACAAATGTCTCTCAATCAACATCAAACTCACAAGTTTCAATACAAATGTCAACATAGTTCTACTGTATGAGGCGGAAACTTGAGGAACTACGAAAACCATCATCCAGATGATACAAGTGTTTATCAACAGTTATCTACGCAAAACACTTCGTATCCGTTGGCCAGATACTATCAGCAACAACCTAATGTGGGAGGGAATAAACCAGATTCGATTTAGTGGAAGTAGAAATCAGGAAGAAGAGCTGGAAGTGGATAGGACATACATTGAGTAAAGCACACAACTGCGTCACAAGACAAGCTCTCACATGGAATTGTGAAGGTCAAATGAGAATAGAAAGACCAAAGAAGACATTACGCTGAGAAATGGATACAAATATGAGAAGAATGAACAACAGTTGTATAGAATTATAAAGGAATGCCGAGGACAGAATGGGTTGAAGGATTCTCGTCGGCGACAGGCGTAAGTAAGGATTTGTTGATGAAACTTAAGTAGGAAGAAACACATAAATATTCAAAAATATAAAAAAAACAGTTCACCTGATCATCTTGGGAAACGTTCGAGCTTGATTTTCTTTTTACATATCAGTCATCAAAACCACTTAATATGCTAACTGTAAGTTGAATCAATCATTTATACGGTAAATAACATAGGTTTGTGAACTAAAACCCTGTGCATTAGGGATGATAATTATTCCAGAAGAAACATTGGTTGAATATTTCTAAGTGTTTGACGGACAGATAATAACATTAATGAAATGATTCCATCAAGACTAAGAATTTGACAAATAAAAAACTTCATTGAATAATGAACCGGTCTAAATTAAACCATCATTGAAAACCAGGAAGCATTGAACAGCTGAAAGTGTCATAGTTTGGGACCTATCAACAATGTGCACCCACGACCTATTACCTAGAAATTGAACTCTTGAGCTTTGGTCTCCGGTTTGAACGCTTAATCTCTAGACCACTAAGTCGGCATCCAACTGTAGAAGCGTCTTAATCCAAGCATCCTTCACCGATTGCCCACTTCAAATAATTGTCTCTTACCAGACAAGGTTGTGTCTTGGGTTCGTAGAGCTGAAGAGTTCCATACAAGAACAAAACGACCATCCAGTGCTTCCAGGTTTTCAGTGGTGGTTCAACATGCATCGGTTCATGATTTCAATGAAATTCAATGATCTTTACAACTCTTTACTGACAAATATGATATTCCTACTTGCTCTGCGACCTAGATGTTACGCTCTCGATAGAGGATCAAAGATCTTTGCCTCTAGTTACCGTCGGTCTTGTGGATGTGCACTGAGGATGAATCCCATACTAAGTTGTAATAGCTATCTAGACCTTCTTGTTTTTCACACTTTAATTAACATTAAATCATGTTGTTTATTATGAAAATGTGACAATGGCCGATTGTCACTGATGAATTGAGATGCGTTAATAGTATTGACTTTCATATATTTAATTACAGTAAACAGTTTTCAGGACAAAAATTATATTCTTTCATTACAATACCAATGTAATAAGCAGTTAATATGTGAATATTCAAATAGGGCGAAACACATGTCCTGGATTTCACTGATAGTCACTATCCATCTTTGCTTATAATGCATGTCAGCTGGATGTACCTGTATCTCAGAGTTGATGTTCACTCTGGGACTCGAACCTAGCACTGTTCACTTCAAACACCATCACATTATCCACTTAGCTACTGAGTCCTGTTAGCCACTTGCTTATGCAAAAGGGTGAAGTTTAAATTCACTTAGTATTGTTTGTTTGAATCTTCCCATTGATGTTTAGGTATGTAATTGATCAGTCTCTTATTGGCATATGTACATACTGTGCGTATTGTCTCGATATAGCCTAAATTCACAAGTATTGTAAGCAAAGATGGATAGTGGGTAGCAGTGGAATCCATGACGCGCGTTTCGTCCTAATTGGGACTCGTCAGCCAGATGTACCTGCATCTGAGATTTGTTGATGTTCACTCTGGGACTCGAACTCAGTACTGTTCGCTTTAAACGACATCGCGTCATTTACTCAGCTACTGAGTCCTGATAACTACTTGTTTGTGGAACAGGGTGAAGTTTAAATTCAATGAGGAAAATTCAAACAAACAATACCAAGTGAATTTATAGTATTGAAAGTTCCTATATTTCTCAATAATCAGGTTAACCATAAGTTTTATGAAATCGCATAATTACTTGAGTAATATCAGATATGCGCATCCACGATCCCGCATTCACGAGATTCGAACCCAGGATCTACCAGTCTCGCACCAGAGCACTTAACCGATAGACCACTGAGCTGACATCCAACGGGATAGTGGATGTACACTACTGAAGAGTTCCATACAAGGACAAAACGATCATCCAGTGCTTCCAGGTTTTTCATGGTAGTTTAGCTTCAATTGACTCATGATTTCAACTATGAAAATACAGAAATCTCCACAAAACCCCCTTCTGATCTATATCAGATATAATTAGTTAATCAAGGGAAATCTAAAAAACAAACAATGAATGAAAGAGAAAAAAAAATTAATTTGAGTAGGCTGCCATGTCGACAGATGTTTTATTGTTTAAATGAATCAATAAGATAAATGGTCAATTGTTGTTTCCCTCTTTTGAAAAAAGAACAGAGATATTAAACTTTTAAGGAATGTATCCAAATTTAAATCAATATTAACGTCTTATTCTTTATGTATAGTCATCATAGATAACTAGAAAGAAGAAATAATGTAAAACATTCATCACTAATCAATGTTAGATGGTGGCTAGTAATGGAATTCAAGATGCGCACTCTGTCTTATTTAGGACTCATCTGATGGATGTACCAACATTCTAAAGGTATGGTTCATTTCGGAACTTGAACCTAATACCGTCCGCTTCAAAAGCTATTGAGTTATTCATTTAGCTACTGAGTTTTGAAAACTACTTGCTAACGCAATGGGATGAAGTTTCAATTCACTTGATATTGTGCCTAGGTGTGGGAATCAAGAAGCTCGTTTCGTCCTATTTAAAACTCATCAGTTGAATGTTATTATGACTTTAAAAAAAGAAGAAAGCCGTGTGCCAATTCACTTTTATCACGTGAATTATCCACCAGTACAGTGCCAAATCAATCACGTTCAACTGGTATGAGCAGTCTAGCGTCCTTATTGGTTCTTTGTCCGATTAGACCTTCCAATTGAGTCCAGAACATCAATTTCAGCTTTTGCTATGCGAATCATTTATTTCAAGTATACTCGGTTTATATACCTGACAAACAGACCACATCACACCATAAAATAGAAAATAATATTTGTACAAGATCAAGCCAAATGTGACTGTGAACGTGGGAGATAGTAATAAATAAACTGAATATAATTTAGGGACAGCAAATCGTTTAATAATAATCCATAGGTCAAAATGAAGCTTATAAAAAAATGAATCTAGATACGTACAATATAATCACTGAACGGTTATACAATGAGTATATATGTAGAAAAATAGTCCACTCATAGGTCCTGGGAGTTACCCGTACTTATGTCTTCGATAGGATATAACAAATGTACCTTTATCTCAGAGCTGATGTTCATTTTGGGACTCGAACCTAATACATTTCATCTTCAAACGCCATCGCATTATCTGTGATGGATGAGAACACAGGTGGATGTAATCAATTGTACTTTAATACAAAATTACAGAGTTTTTTGGTAAAATGTGAAAACCATACGTTCAATCCTTCATCAATTGTTTTAAAATTCATCGTTTCTTCATTGTTATAACAAGTACTGTCTGTCCCCGTTCTCTTGGATTTGATCTTACAAACCTTCTACTGCTAGACATTCCGTTGTGACTGCTGTTATATATCACTTATGTCGACTTGGGTAGCATACACCACATACTCACTTAGTTACTGAGTTCAGATAGCTACTAGCTTATGCAATGAGGTGAAGTTTTAATTCATTGATGTTTAGGATTGCAACTGATCAGTGTTTATGAGACGAAACACTACCAGGCACTATCCATGTTTGTTGAATTAAGGCAATATCGAAGCAATACGCACAGTATGCCTATATGTTAATAAGAGAGAGACTGATCAATTTCAGTTCTAAACATCAATGGGAAGATTCAATCAAACAATACCAATTGAATTCATCCCTCATCATTATAAATCGTATAAATGATATCTACTTGATATTGTTTGTTTGAATCTTCCCATTGATATTTCGGACTACAATTGATCAATCTCTCTCCCTTATTGGCATATGTTCATACTGTGCGTATTGCCTCAATATAGCCTTAATTCACAAGCATTATAAGCAAAGATAGGTTCGAGTCCGAGAGTGAACATCAACCCTGAGATGCAAGCACATCCAACTGATGAGTCCCAAATAGGACGAAACGCGCTTTGTGGATTCCACTACTAGCCACTATCCGTCATTTCTAAATCAATTATAATCAATGGTGACCATTTTCATGAAGGGTATGAGATTCACTGTTTTTTTTTATATCCATTCAATTACATAGTTTTATATTTAAACTTGTATATATGTACTATGACTTGTGTAACATGATATCATAAATATAAATAAATAAATAAATAAATCTGTCCAAGACCAAAAAAGAACCCCACTCTCTCTCTCTCTCACTGTGTCTCTATGGCTATGTGTATCTGTCTCTCTCTGTCTCTTACTGTCCTGTTGACATAATCCGTTTATGCAATAAAACAAAACAAAACAAAAAAAAACTGTATCA